GAGGGGCCTTCCTAGGCCCCCAAGAGTACAGAGAGGCCTCTGTCCACAGTCACTGTTTAGGAGGCTGTAGCTGCCTGCAGAGGGAGCTTGAGGGGGTGATGCTCCTGCCTGCCCCATGGAGCAGAAGGCCCAGGTCTGCAGCCTTGACTTGGGTGCCTGCAGCTTCACCAAGAAGGGTGGGGCTCCTGCCTGCTCCTGGTTTCCCCAAGAGCACAGGGAGGCCTAGGTCTGTAGCCATGACTTGGGAAGTTGCAGCTGTGTCTGAAAGGGCAGGGCTCCCACCTGCTCCTGGGTAGAGAGGACAGTGATGCCCCTGAAGCTGTGGCTTGGGCAGCTGCAGTGGCACCTGGGGAGCTCCTGTTCCAACTCAGAAGGGGCGGGGCTCCTGCTTGTCCCTGATTCCATGGAGTGTGCAGCCCCAGCCATGCCTCCCTGCTGTGATGGTAGTGGCCACTCCAGATGACCTGCTGCTGCCATCACTTTTGTTAAGCTATAAGAGCAGTATCATTGAATATTTGCAACCTCTGTAGCCATTCATGGCATAACCCAAGACTTTTCAGACATCAGGAGAAGCATATACATTTGTATGAGTCAGATTGAGACAAAGTTGTACTGACTCCTGTGTTTGTACACAGACAAGGATGGGGAATCTATGTTGGGAAGCTGCTACTGATGTATGTATTGCAGAAATGTTCAGGAGAGGCCATATTCACAGTTTTACTATTTCAAGGAATGTGGAAGAGGATGACAAACCAATAGCAGATTGGATAGCCAACTGCAGTTGCCACTTGGCTCCAGCAGACTATATAATTGCCTTGCTAGGCTGTGGTGCTTGACCTAGAATACAAAGAGTGAATTAATTCTCCACTCTCCACCTCCTAGTCTAAGATTTTCCCTTCCTAAGTGCCAGTGTTGTTGCTCTTTCTCCACCATCACAAAATCGGTTCATCCCATTCTAGTAGCTATAACTTTGCCTTTTTTTGGTAGTCAGTTCCAGTCACACACCAAAATCATTTGTCTAGAATAAATAGAAAGAGAAACAGGCATTTGTATGACATTTACATAGATTCATCATAATTACCACCTTGGCCTTCCTGGACCACTGAATGGGAACTTGTAAAGCTGTGCACTCAAATAAATGCTGGTTATCCTCATGATATAAAATAATGTTTAACCAAGAAAAGAATATAGGTGGCTGAACTGGAATTCAATATTAATACCACTCTGACCATGTTGCTACCTGGGGAGTGTACCAACCAGGCTGTTGTAAGGTCGCTGCTAGGAGAAAGAAAGAAGCATCATGCCTTTCACTTCTAGGACGTTAGAGAAGGTGTACTTTTTTCTATTACTGTTAAATACAACTAAAAATTCTGGACATTACAGATGGTCCTTGAATTGAAATGAGATTACTTCCCAGTAAACTGATTGTAGTTTAAAATACTGTAGGTATAAAATGCATGTAATGTATCTTATATACTGAACATCATAAGATTGCTTATCCTATGTTAATCATGCTCAGAATGCTTACATTAGCTTATGGTTGGGCAAAATAATCTAACACAAAGCCTATTTTATAAAAAAGTGTGGAATATCTCATCTAATTTATTGAAAAAAGTACCCAAAGAGAATAACAGAAGGGTTGTATTGGTACGCAAGGTACAATTTGTACTGATTGGGTATTGCTTTTTGCACCATGAAAAAAGTCATAAGTCAAGTCATTGTTAAGTCAGGGACCATTTGTATATAAAATCGCAAGATAAAAAGTTTCTGAAAGATATAGAGAAAAAGCCAGATTGTCTAAGAAATTTAGGACCTGAACAATCTAGAACAGTGAGTTTCATGAGTTTCCTTTTGCCTCATACAACCCAGTGGCATCCAGGAATAGCCAGTAACCTGGTAATGCCAGTGGGTACAGAAAAGAATTCCCAAAGAAATGCCTGTTTTCCGTAGCCAAAGGACCAAGAAAAGGATTGACTATGAAGGCAGAAACTATAAGACTATAACCATTCTACTCTAGCCAAAGACCACAGAAAGTTTTACAGCAACCAAACACACATTTAATCAACAAAAAGGTAACTGCAACCTAGTAGGAGAGATTTATGATGATGTAACTTTCCTTTGCTCCATCTTTCCATCACGGGCTTGAAAATAGTCTTTAAATGGCATTCTGCATTCCCAGTGTGGGTTTCTGGGGCTGGAGGAAGCAGAGTAGACCTGTTATCAAAGAATAGTGCCTATGTTGACCTCTCAGGTGGTTTTCTGAAAGGCTAATTCAAAGGGCTTTCCTGTATTCATAAAACTCAAAATCCTCTCAGAGTGGAGAAGAAGTGGCTATGAAGAGGAAATTTTCTAAAATATTGATAAAGGGACTCAACAGCAGGAAGGAGAAAGAATCTGCAAATGTGAAGATAGGCCAATTGAAATTATTCAGTCTAAGAAGCAGAAGGGAAAAAAATTGAAGAGAGCTTAAGAGACCTGTGGGACATTATAAAAAGTACAGCCATAAGGATAACAGGATTTCCAGAGTGAGAGGAAAGGAAAAAGCAGGGAGAATATTTGTAAAAGTCATGACTCCAAACTTCCCAAATTTGTTGGAGGACAAGAACCTATACATCCAAGAAGTTCAACAAGGACCAAGTAGAAAAAAGGCAAAACAAAACAAAACAAAACAAAACAAAACAAAAACAAAAACAAAACCCTTGGGACTCATTACAATCAAACTGTTTAAAGAAAAAGACAAATTGAGAATTTTGAAAGCTGCAAGAGATAACTGACTAATCACATGGAAGAGATCTTTTGAAAGATTAGCAGTCAATTGTTCATCAGAAACCATGGAAGCCAGAAGGCAGTGGGATGGCATATTTAAAGTGTTTAAAGAAAAAAAAATGTCAACCAACAATTTTATATCAGGCAAAACTATTGTTCTAAAACAAAAGAGAAATTAAGGCAGTTCCAGATAAACAAAAACTCAGAGTATTCGTCTCTTGTAGATCTGCCCTACAAGAAAATCTAAAGGGAATCTTTCAGGCAGAAAATAAATGGCACTAGACAGCGACTTGGAAACATGCAAAAATAATGAACAATCATAAAGATAGTTACATAGATAAGAACAAAGCCAGTAGTTTTTGTTTGTAACTCCCACTTTTTCCCTAAATTATTTAACAAACTAATGCGTAAACAATAATTATAATTATATTGTGGATAATCATACACAATAATCTCATTGTGTATACTGAGAACACAATGAGTATTCCATGTGTATAAAAATTTCCTTTGTTGTTGTTGTTTTTAATAGTACAACTTATGTATTTCAAATAGACACAAAATTAGTAGCATTTACAGTAGTATCTTAAGATAAATTGCCTTTGAATAAGATCTTGCTTTCAATACTTTGACGTCCACAAGGCATATCTAGAAAATTTCATGCTATGGAAGATGAAGACTGTTTAATCCAATGGGGAAGGGGACTATGATTTCTCTTTGATTAATTGCCATAACACTGTCCTTAAGGCATATGAAGGAGTTTCATATGTTATTTATACATTAGTAGACACAGAAGTTTTGCAGTACAACTTTGATGTATAAATTCTGTCATTTTGCTAGCACTGATATTGCTCTTTATATCTATTTGCCCATACTATTTTTGTTACAAATATTAAAAAGGTGATTTCTTCCTGAAAATACTGTGGTCCTCATTCAATTTTAGATGTTATATTTGTTTTTTTATAAAATTTCCAAGAAAGTAGTGACTGCATTCTTGGGTTGGTATGACTCTTCCTTTGGTTTTTACGCTTACTGAGAAGTGACTGTTGTAATTTCTGTCATGTACAATACATTCCTAGAGAAAGGGATTTCAATACTAGCATATTACTCTCATTCTATTTCCTATGGCAGTTGCTGGTGGGAACGGGAAGGGCCTGCCCAGGCCATCATTGATGAATACTGATTACATGGCTCTTGAGTAGACAAGAGCCTGCATCATTGCTGGCCTACAGCCACCAGCTTCTTCAAGGACACAAAGCAGATTATGGACTAGAGGAGGAACAGCGGTTGTTGTGCTTACTACTCTGTAGACCCAGTTAAATTTCTTCCATAGTTAACCCTCCATAGATCTGGTTTGCTTTTTAGGTTAGGATGAAAAGGCAAAGTGAAAGACCAAATTCATGAATTTTGGAGATTCATTCCTAGATATAAACTTAAAACAAGAAAAGAAGTAAGAGGAAGCAGATAAATGAACAGGCATATAAAAGTCTAGATAGTGAAGGTAGGTCCATCTCTTTTGCAACAGCCCAGATAAATACTGTTTTGACATGCACATGTCATTGGTGTAAGGCAGAATGACGAATTCCAAGCTCTAGTCCCTGGCTTTGTTAAAAAATGTGGCCCAGGCTGTGAGCTCAAATCATATTTGTTCAGCTAGATTTTAGGTCATTCTATTTTGAAAGAATTCTTTTGAATTACAGGAAATTTCTTTAAAACTTGGAGATAACAGAATGGTATGGGGATGTGTGGCCTGACATGGAGAAGAGCTATGTAATGTGAAATCCTCCTTAAATTGCAAGAATCTCACTCAGAGTCTTGTAATAGAATGCTTCGTGACTGACTGTTCAGTGTAGGAAAGTGGCTATTAGAAATAACTGCTCTTACTCATACGAGAGTTGCCATTTGATATCAAACACATACACATGCATAAACATGCTCCACAGACGTCAACTTGGAGCATTTGCTTCTCAAATTTTTAATTTAACTAACATGTCAGATTTTTACATTCACCTGTTCACATAATACAGGTCTACATTTTGAGTACATCTTTGATTACTATCAGGATTCCACAAGATGGCAGTGTGTTCTTAGGGACCCTGAGGAAAGGTCTGAAGTGCTGGTGTGTGTGTGTGTGTGTGTGTGACAGAGAGAGAGAGAGAGAGAGAGAAGGAGAGAAAGACAGAGAGAGAACAGGACAGATGATAAGAGGAGGGGTTGGTGATATACCAGGGGTTGTGAAAAGAACCTCTTTTTTCTAATTGGTAGGACAGATTCTTTTATGATTCCTAAAGTGGAAGAAATAAAATATCTGTGCTACGTTATTTTTTTTGGATTGAAAATTTTAATCCTCAGTGAACCAGGGCAAAAAAGAATGATGAAATCCTTGAGAGTTTTACTGGTGATCCTGTGGCTTCAGTTAAGCTGTGAGTTTGGGCATGTCTATAGGAACATAATGTACAATATTTCAAGATGTTTTCTATCCTAGGCCGGGGGCTAAAAGCCTGCATTTTTTTCTCTAACTAAGGGAGAGTACAAGGCCTGTAAAAAGATGATTTGAATTCTGGGGAGTAAGCATTTACCTCCCAATTTGTCTTCTCTGTCTGACCACTGTCTTTTTCACAGGGGTTTGGAGCCAACAGAAGGAGGTGGAGCAGGATCCTGGACCCTTCAGTGTTCCAGAGGGAGCCACTGTCACTTTCAACTGCACTTACAGCAACAGTGCCTCCCAGTCTTTCTTCTGGTACAGACAGGATTCCAGGAAAGAACCTAAGTTGCTGATGTCCGCATACTCCAGTGGTAACGAAGATGGAAGGTTTACAGCACAGCTCAATAGAGCCAGCCAGTATATTTCCCTGCTCATCAGAGACTCCCAGCTCAGTGATTCAGCCACCTACCTCTGTGCAGTGTATACACAGTGCTCCCCAGACACCTGCAGTCTGTACCCAAACCTGCTGTGCCCCAGGAATGCCTGATGTAGAGCTTAGACTGCAGGGCAGTCAAGTTGTCTTTGCTTTCCAGATTCAAGTGGAAATTAAGAGCACTAGTATGGAGGACTGATTGATTAGGGAAGTATTACTGTAATTCTGCAAATAATGGAGACCCTGAAGGAAAATGAAAGATACAATCTTGGTCTGGTTAAAATGTTTTCTAGTATTCTCTCTCTACTTTAGTTTTAAAATATTTTTTATGTTTCTTCTGGAGAGATTAAAAAAAATTAAAATATTTTTTGAGATCATTGACAAACCAGAAGGATTACATATTCATTTCATACATACATCACAATCTATGCCATAAGCATATCCATCATCTCTAAAAGTTTACTTCCTCCCTCTCTTTTTTTTTTTACTTTAGGTATGATTCATAGACAGCAAGGTGCATATATTACATAATGTATACATTTTAATGCCCACTCTAGTTTTGTGCCACATTTTTGCTTTATGAGATTGGTTTTATGATTCTTTTTATTTATATCAGGAAAACATTTTTATACAATAACAGATATTCTGTCACTGTCCATAGGATATCTTATTCTTTCCCCATTTAGTTACCCAAGAAATTTGATGGTCATTGCTTTAGGAATGCAACAGAAAAACAGAAATGCAAAATAAAAAAATCAGCAAACTACTGTGAAAATTCTGTAAGTCATAAATTCTTTTAGTTATAGGACCCTCACCCCATCTCCAGTCCCAGCTGCAGTGCCACTCCTGAGTTATATAAGGCCACATTTGATTAGTAGATGGCAGAACTAGAGGGAGAGGGTGAGAACTGGTTTAAAAAAGCCTAGATATTTGCAGAGATTGAAGATTAGAGAGGGTTTATATTGTCATTTTGGGGTAAAGTCTGAATTGAACTCAAAATCTTGTGGAAGAGTATATTGATTCCTATGTAACTGAGTGTGGCTTGGAGATGGCAGGGAGTCTTAGGCCTAGTCACAACATGTCACATACTCACAGCCCCTGCTGGGATGACTTAAAATTTATTGAGAAGGATCTCTAAGTATCTAAAAGAAGTCTAGACACCAAGAGACTTTGTTATGATGAACAAAGACCTGTATAAACCAGTGACCAGAGACCATTTGGTATTGAGCATGTTTCAGCAAATGTTGGAGGAGAGTTGGAAACACTGAAGAGCAGATAAATGCCTCCCTCCTCTGACTACCTAGCAATACATATTTGCCCTGCGATGTATACTAAGTTAGGGCAAAATATTTGTGCCTGATGAAAAGAAGGCTTTTTAGTAGATATTAAGTTGAATTACAGGAAAAAACTTTGAACATCACTTTATTATAAAAGTGAAGTGGTAGTCTGTTGGGCATGATATCGTTTATGTAGTCCCCAAAGTGGGAAAGTTTAGAAATGGAGAATTAAGATTTCTGTCCAGGGTTGTTCCCATAGTCACTGATGGAAAGGATGCAACTCAATCCAAATGTGCTTCAAATTCTTAATCTGAAGAATGAAAGACTGAACAAATCTTTCCAAGTCTTGGAAGAAAGATGTGAAAGGCAGTAAGGAAGAGCAGAAAGTTGCGCCAGAATCAAGACCCTTAAATTTTAGTCCCACATTTATTGTACACCTTTTGGCTTCCTGGCATTCTGGAAAGAACCTGGGTTGTGTTTTTTGTTTGAATATTTATGTTACTAATGGTCCATTTATTAGGCTATATATTACATATATTTCAGGATTTGTTTCAGTATTAAATGAGATAACATACTGCCTTGGGATGAGTTCCTTAAAAGTAGAGACCACACTTGGAATTCTTTCTCTGTAACTGATTGAGGAAACCAGGTTGAGATGGGGGAAAGGCTAAGCATGGACATGGTCCAGTGGGAGTCTTGATCCTGCCTGACCTTATAGGGAGCTCTGGAGAGTGAACTGCATCAAAGGGGTGATTCCTCCCACCCTGAGGCAAGGGAGTCAGACTGCTCTGACCTATTGTGGGTAAGAATAAAATCATAATTGGCTGTGCTGTTTCTTGGGGTAGAGGTATATGCTACCGGACAATCGTGACTGTCATTGGCAGAGGTCAACTTTCTAGGGAAAGGGGCAACTGTGAGCCAAGAGTAGCCAACACTCACAGTGGCGGAGGATGGCTACACTGTCCTAGGAAAGGAGATCTAAACTGGGGATCAGCAGTGTTCGTTATTACTATGGAGCGTGACTGGTATGTGGGCAGCATTCAAGAAATAATAAACTTTAATTGTATTCTGAATTTTAATTTCTCTCTCTATTTTAAGGCGTTTATACAGTTGGCTTGACCAATTTTGAATAGTTGAAATAATGTAAGTTAAAGCACTTGTTAACAGAAACCATCTAAATAAATACAAAAAACAGATAAAAGGAAACTTTTTTCAAAGCTAAAATTCAGGAATTTTTAAAAGAGTAGTGACCAGAGAATCACTCTACTATCTTAGTTGCTTTTGGGAATGATGAGATGACATTCTATCTGTCACTTTCTATCCAGGTAGCAATGATTCTGATGATTTACAGTTCACAACTCTGGACTTCCACATCTAGACAGAACAACAGAGATACCATCTATATTTATACACGATTACTGCTATTTTGTTACTAATTTGTGTTTAAGAATGAAGGACTGGGTAGCAGGATGGACTCCTCGTGTCATTGTGTCCATGTTCCCCACAAGGTTTCTTTTTGAATGGGGGGCCTGGCCAGTAGTGCGGGTATGTGGGCCTGTCATGTGAATTGACAGGCTTCTTTCTAGGATGAATGAGGAGGGAACTGGTAATTAAGTTGCTTCTCTTTGTTCCCTGAATCTAATATCATTGAAAATGGTCTACTTCTATTAACTACTGATAATAAAAACTGAAACCATCCCAGATGGTTCATGTAAACTCTCATGAAGTTTACGTGCCCCAAGTTGGCTTCATATGCTTCTCACACACAAATACAGAAGCAGGTTGGTGAGAACAGAGGGAGGCTAGTGCAGCCATTCCACATGTGGACCTTCACTACGTTCTTTTGTGTTCTGTTCCTCTCACCCTTCGTCACCTACTCTCTTTCTCAGCCCAGAACCTCTCCAGGGTCCCACCCAGTATGTTCCCTCCATTCACATTTCTACTGTAATCTTCTCATAGTTCATTCTGGCCCGGACTTTTCCCCTCTCTGTTTTATCCATCAGTGTGCTCGCATCCACTTATCATCTACTTCATGGGAATTGTGATATCTTTCATCTTTTTATTACTTTTATTATTAATGGATTCAGGTCATTCTGCTTATAGTTTTACATTTCATTTCAGTGGGAATTTTAGAGAGTTAAGAGGACAGCACATGTGTTTAGTTAGAAGTTTTGTATCAGAAACCCACCCTAGTAACATTTAAATTTTTAAACTGACTACATAATTTAGTCTTACATGTGATAAACAATTTATAGGCAGAATCAAGAAATAGATCAGAAGCCCAAGGGAAAACTGATTTCAGGCTGGTACAAGTCAATGGAGTATTCAGAAGCAGTTTTTGTTCTGACCTTGTAAAATCCCATTTTACCTGAGATTTTTCTCCTTATTTGGTTATTTCATTTTTTAGGATCCAATGATCTCTATGCTGCAATAGGTTCGGTGGGGAAGGCTTTTTGCTCAAAAGCTTCGTTTTATTATTGGGGCACAGGGCAGTCTGTTCTTGTTCGCTATGCCTTGTCTCCCACCCACATGGCACTGCTGTTTACTTAGCTCTGTTGAGCGTCACCATCAATATCTCTCACCATTTCTATACCTCTCACAGGTTCCTCTAGTTTCCGGTCTGCTGGTTGCACTCTTTCCACCTGTATTGAGTTCATGTAGGTTTACTTTTTAAAAATCTCTTTAACTACTTTGATAATCACTTATTTATATGTTATATTTTCTTCCACTTATCATTCTGTTCAAGTTTCTTCATAGATGGAGGAACTTAATTGTGGAGATAGAGAAACTGCATTAATTTTTTTAGTGTCAGATTCTCATAATTTGGCACAATATATCAGTCTATTCTGAACACTGACAGTTGGAATAGGACTCTCACTTTCTCTTTTTAAATATAAGTTATCTAAGTTATTTTCTCCTAGGTTCACAAATATTAAACTTGTTGACATGAAATTAGGAAGCCTTTTCCACACTTTCCACTTGACAAAGAAAATTCTTGCCTTTAATCGTTTGCTTTGGTTAATTAATTAATGACATGTGATCCAGGCTGACTTTAAGTATGAGTCTCTGATCTAATTTATTTTTTAAAGAATCAAATAAAGGAACAATCTCTTTCACCTACTGTAATGCCCACATCCAGCTGCACAGGGACATATGAGACTCAGCCCAGACTGAGACAACTGATCACCACTCCTCTCTTTGATGAACGGCTTTACTGATATAGAGTGTCTCAATGGTTTTCCAAAGTCTACAACGTTGTCTTCTGTGACTAATTTCTCAGTGAAGTAAATTACTCTTCTATTTCTACATAACTCTCCTTTCTCATGTATTTAAACTTAAAACCATTTACTCTACGGAAGGTGACGTCATCACGGATTCGGGAAGAAAGAAACACTTTCTGTTGGTTTTGAGATCACATCTCTCAAATGAGAAGGAACAGTTCACTTCCTTGGATCTGTGGTTCCACGTATGCCCTTCAGGGGGCGACGTTGCACTAAGCAGGTATCTGTGTTCGTTGCAGACCATCCTCATCTACTGAGCCTCCTCCCTGCAGGTGGCTGATGTAGCTCACTGATGTGTGTGTAGATAGGGAGCTGTGAGGAGAACAAGAGGTCAGAACACATCCAGACTCCTTAAGGGAAGACCTCTTTGTGTTTTGGAAACTTTTCAAAGCCAGGGACTTGTCCAGCCCAACCTTCCCACTGCTCCTAGCTCCTGAGGCTCAGGGCCCTTGGCTTCTGTCCGCTCTGCTCAGGGCCCTCCAGCGTTGCCACTCCTCAGCCATGCTCCTGCTGCTCCTCCCAGTGCTCGAGGTGATTTTTACCCTGGGTGAGTAAC